TGCCATGACCCGTTCCGTGATGTCGGTATAGGTGGTGACGATTCCTCCGTCCGGCATGGGGCTGATCCGAACTTCAAACACAGTGTCACTGGATTCCAGACGCTCCTGGAAGGTTTCCTGGACGAGCACAAGCTTTTCGATCCGGTCGGCGACAATCGCTTCGACTGGCCCCGGGCCGTGTTCGCCGCGTTCTGCGTTCACGCGCAAAATCGCGTCGAGAGTGGTGCCGACCTGACCATATTCCGCAGGCAGTCCAAGAAGGTCCCTGAACTGGCGATTCCAGCAGATCAGTCGCAAATCCCGGTCGAAAACACCGATGCCTTGACGAACCTGATTGAGCGCGGTTTGCAGAAGATCGCGGTTGTACTGGATGGCAACGGATGCGTCGTCGAGAAGTTTTACTGCTCCCTTGGTCGACGGATCGTGGCGTTTGAGCATCAGCGTCAGAACCAGACGTGAAGATGCAGCGCCGATGGCGCTTGCCAGGAGCTGCTCGGAAAACCTCAGCAGATTGGCATCGGCCAGGGTGTTGGGGTCGAGCGGGATGCCTCTTTCGGTCGCGAACCGATGAAACGAACGTTCCGTGCGTTCCTCGCCAAGATAGCGGGCGACAGTCGATTGCAGGTCGCCTGCTGTCACGGAGGTTCGCCAGTATCGAAGGCTCGGCGACGGGGTGAATTCTGCGGGCACAAATACATTTGCCTGCAGCGTTTCGGCCGGCAGCGGTTTTCTGACAAAGGAGACGCCGATAAAAAGCAGGATATTGATACAAAGGCTCCAGAGCGTCCCGTGAATAAAAGGATCAGCCTCGATTCCAAAGAGCGATTGCGGGTTCAATACGCCCACGCCGAACGGACCTGTTTCCAGAAAACCGGCCGAAATCAGCCCGGATTGAGCGAAAGTCGGCAAAAGAAGAGTGTAGGCCCAAAGCACAAACCCGCCACTCAGTCCTGCCAGCGCCCCCAGAGAGGTTGCCCTGCGCCAGACAAGGGCTCCGATAAAGGCAGGCGCGAATTGCGCAATCGCGGCAAAGGACAGCAGGCCGATCGATACCAGCGCCGCGGTGTCACCGGCAGCCCGGTAATAGGCATAGGCCAGAAGAAGGATCGCAAAAATCGCCAGGCGGCGGATCGTGAGCAACTGCCGGCTCATGTCCCGTCCACTGGTATTGACCAGCTCGTCCTCACTGTGGCGGCGAAGAAGGAGCGGAACAACAATGTCGTTGGAAATCATGATTGCCAGCGCTACCGTGGCGACGATGACCATTGCGGTTGCGGCGGACAATCCGCCGATGAAGACAAACAGTGCCAGCCAGTTCTGGCCGGCATCAATCGGCAGGGCAAGAACGAAAGTATCGGGATTGATATCCTGGCCGAAGCGCAGCATTCCGGCAGCGGCAATCGGGATCACGAAGAGATTGATCAGAACAAGATAGACAGGGAACAGCCAGGTTGCCCGCCGAAGTTCGGCATCTGAGTTGTTTTCCGTGACGGTGACATGAAACTGACGCGGCAACATCAGAACTGCGAATCCGGACAGAATTGACAGGATCAGCCAGTTGCTCACGTTGATCGGCTGTTCGAATACCTCTGCCACCTCCGGAGCTTCCGTAATGGCCCGGACCAGGTCGAACGGGCCGTCGAACAGCCAATAAGTGACCCATACGCCAACGGCCAGAAAGGCAAACAACTTTACGATCGCTTCAGTTGCGATTGCCAGCATGAGGCCTTCCTGGTGTTCCGTCGCATCGATGTGACGAGTTCCGAAAGCCCAGCTGAAGATGGCCATGCCCAGTGCGATAAGCAGCGTCACGTCGTCGAAGACAGGGGTAAAGATGTCGCCGGGCGAAATCAGCGGCCCCACCATGGTCGTGACCGACAGGGAAACGGCTTTCAGCTGCAGCGCGATATAGGGGATTACGCCAATCACGGCGATCAATGTTGCGAGTGCCGCCACGGATTGGCTTTTGCCGTATCGCGCGCCGATGAAATCGGCAATCGACGTGATGCTCTCCGTCTTCGAGATCTGGACGATCCGCCGCAACAGCGGATAACCAAGTGCGAATACAAGCAGGGGGCCGATATAGATTGTCAGAAATTCCGCACCACTCCTGCTGGCGTTTCCAACCGAGCCGAAGAATGTCCAGGACGTGCAATAGACGGATAAGGAAAGTGCGTAGATGAATGGACGTCCACCGGCGCGTGATGATTTGCGGCGCGTCATCCGGTCGCCATAGCTGGCAATGGCAAACAGCAGCAGGATATAGGCCGTTGCGGTCAATATCACGATCCATCCGTGCAACATTGCGCTGTTTACTGTCCTCCCGACCCGGTTCCTGCAGCAATTTGTTTCGCCACCTTATCCAGATCGGAGCACAGCGAAACCATTCTGTCCATTCGTCTTGCGAACAATGAGCGCAAAACAGAATATCGACCGGTTTGCCAAAGGGTAACTGATCAATGTTGGTGAAGTCCTGTTCACATCGTTTCATGAAACAATTGGTTTCAAACGAGCTAAGGTGCGCGGGGAAAGCATGCGAGGAAATGTGAGTTGTCCAACCTGATCGAGCGATTGAGTGCAGGTGCACGCAACACGGCCGAAAGCGGCATTGTCGAAGTGTTCAATGCGGGCTGGCATCACGAAGCTCTGATACCTCTCTGGGCAGGTGAGGGGGATCTGCCGACGCCGGATTTCATCAACCGGGCGGTGAAGGCTTCACTCGACCGGGGGGAAACCTTTTATACCTACCAGCGCGGCATTCCCCAGTTGCGCGAAGCGTTGGCGGCTTATCATCAGGACCTGTATGGCAGGGTGTTTTCTGCTGAAAGGTTCTTCGTCACCGGATCCGGCATGCAGGCGATTCAGCTTGCCGTGCAGGCTGTCGTGGACCCCGGCAGAGAGGTGATTGTTCCGTCTCCGTCATGGCCGAATATTTCTGCTGCAGTGGAAATACATGGAGCCAGACCGGTACCGGTCCCGCTCCGCGAGGCAAACGGCGGGTGGAGCTTGCACATGGAGGAAATCGAGGCTGCGATCACACCTCACACCGCCGCACTCTTTTTGAATTCTCCGAGCAATCCGACCGGATGGACCGCATCGGAAGACCTGTTGCGCGCATTTCTGGAAATTGCCCGCAAAAATGGCCTCTGGATCATAGCTGACGAGATCTACGCCCAGTATTTTTATGGGGAGCAACCTCGGTCACCGTCGTTTTACGATATCGCGGATGAAGACGATCAGATCATTTTTGTGAATTCGTTTTCCAAGAACTGGGCAATGACAGGTTGGCGTGTCGGCTGGATCTCCGCACCGCCGATGATCGGTCAGGTTGTCGAAAACCTGATCCAGTACTCTACCTCCGGTGTCCCCGCTTTCATGCAATGGGGAGCGGTTGCGGCGTTGACGGAGGGAGAAGACTTCCTCGCATCACAAATAGAACGTGCGCGCCTTGGAAGGAACGCCGTTTTCGAAGGACTTCAGGAGACCGGTCGCATTGGCGCAAAACCGCCTGACGGCGCGTTTTATCTGTTCTTTTCCATTGATGGCGTTACCGACACGCGCCGGTTTGCGCTTGATCTTGTGCGGGAGACCGGTGTCGGTCTGGCACCCGGTTCTGCGTTTGGTCCGGGAGGTGAGAACTTTGTTCGTCTTTGCTACGCCCGCGGGCAGGATCATCTGGCCGAGGCGGTACGGCGAATTAACGCTTGGCTTCCAGAGATTTAGACATATGTTGGGTTGCTGGTCTACGTGAAACCCCTTAAACCTTGAATGGACGTGATTTCCATTTGGGTGCCGGGATGGCAGACGACAGTGTAATTGATCGCAATGCCGAAACGGCCGCTGTTTCAGAGGCGCGGCTTGCGAGTGTGTTCGATACCGCTGTCGACGGTATCATCGTCATCAATGATCGCGGTCTGGTGCTGGCCTACAACAAAGCTTGTGAGCGATTGTTCGGATACGAGGCAGCAGATCTGCTTGGACGGAACGTCAACAAGATCATGCCTCGGGAATACGCGCAGGCGCATGATCACTACGTTCAAAATTACATTGATACCGGGGAGAAGAAAATCATCGGTATCGGCCGTGAGGTGCAGGCACAGCACAAGGACGGAACGGTTTTTCCGATCGAGTTGTCCGTCGGCGAGGCCGAATCGTCCTATGGGCGCCAGTTCATCGGTATCCTGAGAGATCTTAGATCCCGCAAGCAGATCGAGGATCGGCTGGCCAAGACGCAGGCCCAATTGTTGCACATGACACGGCTCAGCGCACTCGACGAGATGGGCGCAGCAATCGCGCATGAGCTGAATCAGCCGTTGACCGCTGTCCTTTTGTACCTTCAGTCCGTATCGCGGAAAGCGAAGTCGGACGCTTCGATTGATCCACTTGTGCTGTCTGTAATCGAAAAGGCAGTCCGCGAGGCGGAACGTGCCGGTGAAATCATCCAGCGGATGCGGCAGCTGGTCGAAAAGAAGGCTCCCGAAAGACAGACGGTCGATGTTGCCGAACTCGTAAGATCCTGTCTGGAAATGGCTCAACTCGGTAGCGGTGAAAAGCAGACATTTCTTTCGGCCACGATCGAACCCGACCTACCGCCCCTGCAGGCAGATCCGGTACAGATAAGACAGATCCTGATCAACCTTTTGCGAAACGCCCGCGAAGCGGTTATTGACCAGCCAGACAAGAAAGTCAGCTTGTCGGTGATCATGAACGCAGAGTCCCTTGAGTTCAGGGTAAAGGACAACGGACCTGGCGTCCCTGCCGAACTCATTGATGGACTGTTTCGCGCTTTCACCGGTGCAAAGCACAAGGGTGTTGGACTGGGATTGGCGATCTCGCGATCAATTGCCCAGAATCACGGTGGCGATTTGAAACTTGAATCCACGCCGGACGGCTGTGGCGCATCATTTTTGTTGACGTTGCCGGTTCATCCAAGAGAGGAATCATTGGATGAAAAGCTTTAGCTTTCGCGAAGCGATGGCATAACTGAGGACTGAAAAACAATGGAAGCTGACGCAGAGGCCGTTTACATCGTCGATGATGACCCTGCGGTGCGTGATGCGCTATCCGTCCTGTTCAACATGGAAGGCTATGTTGTTGAAACCTTCTCTGACGGAGACACGTTCATTCAGTCCGCGAGCAAGTCGGTTCCGGCATGCGTCATGCTGGACGTTCATATGCCCGGCAGGTCTGGTATCGAGATCCTCAAGGCATTGAATGCCGAGAATTATCCCGCACCGATATTCATTATCTCCGGCCAGGGCGACATTCCGATGGCTGTTGAGGCAATCCGAAACGGAGCCTTCGACTTCATTGAAAAACCCTTCTCCGCGGAAACTGTTCTTGACCGTGTCAAGGAAGCGATCGCGGCGATGAAACAGCGGGAAGACGAAGACAGGTCCCAAACGTTCGAGGGAGCAGACTTGCTCACCCGCAGGGAGCTCGAAGTACTCAAGCAGATCACGGACGGGGCCTCGAACAAGGAAGCTGGCAGGACACTTGGGATAAGCCCGAGGACCGTCGAGGTTCATCGTGCCCGGATCATGGAAAAACTGGGTGCGCGCAACGCGGCGGATCTGGTCAGGATTGTGCTGGGGCATCCAGCAGCCGGTTGAAAGAGCCGATTCGCGAAAAAAGTTCCCGGCCGATCACGCAAGTTTTAGCGACAGACGTATTTCTGCGTACATTCGCAGTAGTACTTTTGACGTAAGTATATGGGGAGTTCTGGCAATGTCGCCGGCTTCCTGGGATTGTTTTGTGTGATTGTTCACATCGTTGAGGATGATGTAGCTGTTGCCGACGCGTTAGCATTTACGCTCGAACATCTGGACCATCGTCCCCGGATATATAAAGATGGCGAAACCTTCCTGGCACAGGCGAACCTGTCCGCCTGCCATTGGGTTATTGTCGATCTGGGACTTCCCGGTGTGAGTGGCGCAGAAATCGTCAAGAAATTGAAGAGCTTGGCGATACCTCCGAAAATCATTGCGATCTCGGGAAAGTCACGGGTCAAGATCCTGCGGCAAATGCGGGAAATGCAGGACCTGACCATTTTGCGCAAGCCATTGTCCATCGACATGCTGACATCCGCATTGATTTGACGCGTTTGGCAAACACCTGCGCTCACTCCGACTAATACTTTCGTTGCCTGCGTCCAATCGGCTCATATGTAGTTCCTCTTACGCAGTCGACCGAATTCCTTCAATGGATTCCAAGCTTTAGTGTAGCCCCTGCAAGTTGCGAGACGTCGGACGGGACGCCTCGGCAACAAGGGGCGGTACTTGTTTGGTTCGTATTGGCCGGTTTCGGGATCGGCGACCAGGAACAAGGACTGCCATTGCAGGCCAGGCCGCGCAGATGCGCGCAAAGGAGGGAAAATGGCTTATTTGGAAGCAAGTGTTATTGACCACGGTGCTGTCGCACGGCCCACAGGCAGAACACCATGCAGTCCCGCAAAATCAAATCTCTCCGATTTTGGTGGCAAATCGACGGCATATGAAACCCATGCCGTTGTTTACTATGAAGGCGACCCCGCCAAACGGCTTTACGAGCTGGTTCGCGGTTCGATCATGCTCTACAAACTGTTGCCGGATGGGCGTCGTCAGGTCGTGGAAGTACTGCGTCCGGGCGACATTTTCGGGCTGGCAAGCACCGACGAAAACGATTGCACCGCTGAAACGCTGACCAGCTCGATCGTGCAGGAAATCGATCTCAGGCAGGTTGAGCGATCTCAGGAACTGCAAAGTATCCTGACGAAAAGCCTGACCAGCCAGATGCACGTTCTGCATGAACATGCGGTTCTTCTTGGACGTAAATCGGCCGTCGAGCGGGTTGCCAGCTTTCTGATGCACTTGGTTCCCGATCGTGGTGGTCTGGGATGTGCAGGTCCCGAAGACGAAGAAAATGACGGCTTCGACTTGCAATTGCACATGACGCGCCAGGAAATCGCCGACTATCTGGGATTGACGATTGAAACCGTCAGCCGGGTTGTCTCCGACCTGAAGCGGCGCGGTGTCATAAGAGTGGACAAGGCTGACAAGATTCACCTCAACAAGGTCTGCAGCCTCTGCCAGATGACAGGCATTCACTGAGCGGACATCAGGAACGATCTGAAAAGGCCGCGATCATGTCGCGGCTATTTTTTTGGTTCAACTGGATACTTTTCCTGCTGACGATAGAAATCGTTTCTTAGCCATGTCTCCAGTTTCATTTGAACAGACACCAATTGGCGGAGATCTGCGGAAGAATCTTAACAGTTGAAACTGCATATGAGTCTCTGGTTTCACAAGGATCGGACGCGATCGTGATGCAGATCAACTCACTACGTTTTGTGCAGTCGTCGGCACCCGACGGCAATGCGGACAAGCAATATTCAGTCCTGGCGAATGAGGAAGAATTCGTTCGCTGCGATCTTACCAGGAGAACGATCGCCAAGCCGATTGCTCTGGTCAATCTGATGGACAAATCAACGCGAACATTGTCGCCTGAAAAGAAATTTCTCAACAAACGCTGGCATCTCACCGAGAGCGAAGACCGTGAAAGCGGTATGGTCGTGGCAGATGGCGCAAGTGCGTGGCTTGCATGCGACGCCTCCGCCAACGAACTCTTCCGTGTGGTTGATCCCCGCAAATGGACAGCAAAAACCGTCGAAACCGCACTTGGCTCCTGGGCTGACAGTTATGCTGTTGTGTCACGGGATCGCTGTGTTGGTGTGGTGAGACGGGCCTTGCGGCCCGGCGAGGAAGAACCCGGCACAAGGCTGCAAAAGCTGAAAGGCCTGTTGAAACCTCGCGACTGGAAACTCGAACTTGATGAGCCGGTCTCCCGTGAGGCGGCGCATCTGATGATTGCGTCCATATTGCTTCTGGTCGAAATCACGGTTCGCGGCGCACGCGCAGGTTAACGGCGACCCTGAGCTTTGCTATACGGCGGCCGAGTGTCTTGCCTTGCCGGTCGCCTGGCTTTCGGCCAGATAGGCATCAAATGCTGCAGCTGCAAGGCGCACATACGGTCGGCCGGTCTCTGTGACGCTTACCCTCACATTGTCATTTGCGCCGAAGTCCAGCGCGACCATTCCATCCGTGATCAGGTCCTGCAAGGTGTCCAGTGCGGTCTCTAGATCCCGCAGTGACAGACCGTATCTCTCGCAGACCGGTGCGAGATCACAGGCATAGTTGGTCATAAGCTCTTCAATGATCCGGCCGCGCATCCTGTCGTCTGCCGAAAGGGCGAGGCCCTTGGAAACGGGCAACTCGCCTGCCAGTATGCTACGGCGCCAGTTGCCGACGTCCGGCATGTTCTGGATGAAGCCCCTGGACATTTTCCCGATAGATGACACACCGAAGCCGACAAGCTGTTCACCCTGGTCAGTCGTGTACCCCTGGAAGTTGCGCTTCAACGAGCCATCGGCGAGCGCAATCGCCATGCTGTCGTCGGCGCGCGCGAAATGGTCGAGACCGATTGCGACATACCCTGCATTCAGTAGCTCGGCCCTTGCCTGATCCGCAAGTTCAAGGCGCTGGGCGGCAGAAGGCAGGGCGGTCTCGTCTATCAGTCGTTGATGCTTCCGCATCCAGGGGACATGTGCATACCCAAAAAGCGCGATCCGTCCCGGTGCCAGCGAGAGCGTCTTGTCGACCGTGTCGAGAATGGTGTCACGCGACTGACCGGGCAGGCCATACATCAGGTCGAAATTGAGTGCATTTAAACCCGCTGACCGAAGGAACCTTGTTGCCTTTGCCACGATTTCATATGGCTGAACCCGGCCTATGGCCTTTTGCACGTCTGGGTCGAAGTCCTGCACACCCAGGCTGGAACGATTGATACCCACCTGTGCAAGTGTCTCAGCCAGGTCTTCCGTCACCAGTCTCGGATCAAGTTCGATCGCGTGTTCCAGGTCGGGCGACAGATCGAACCGGTCCCGCAACAGATCCGTCAGATCGATGAGACTTTGACGCGGCAACAGGCTTGGCGTGCCGCCACCCCAATGGATGTGCCGTACCGGACCAGCTTCTTTCAAGTGTTCGCTTATCAGTCCGATTTCCTGCCCGAGAGTCGCCGCATAGGTCTTTAGTGGCGCATCCTGACGGGTTGCCTTGGTGTGACAGCCGCAATAATGGCAAAGTTCCCGGCAATATGGCACATGCAGGTAAAGCGAGAGGCTGTCGTCCCGGGAAATCGCGCCGAGCCAGTCTGCATAGGTTTCAGCCGTGACACCATCGTGGAAATGCGGTGCTGTCGGGTAACTTGTGTAGCGCGGCACATTGCGCAGCGCGTAGGAGAGCGGATCGTGAGTCATGGCGGCATAATTCAATCAAGTGCCGAACGGAACCTTGATATCGCTCAAGTCCGGCTTCTGGATTTGGAGAATTTTGGTGATCGACGGGTGGGAAACAGCTCAAGAACAGGCCCGGACGCCGCGCTGCCGGCTCCATGGGGCACCGGACAACGCAAATCTGGTTGTCCGCATGATGTTGGAGGAACTGGGAGCGGAATATGACTTTGTCCACGTAGATCGCGTTGCATCGGAGCAGAAATCGGAGACCTACCGGCAACTGAACCCGCAGGGGCTGATACCGGTACTGGAATGGCCCGGACAGGATGCCCCCGTGTTCGAGACCGGAGCCATCCTGCTGATGCTTGTCGATCATCATCGCCGGCTCGCGCCTGTGCAAGAGGCACCTGAGCGCGGACGTTTCCTGAAGTGGCTTTTTTTCCTGTCCAACACGTTGCACGCCGACCTGCGCATATCATTCAAGCCGCATCGCTATTTTCCCGCCAAAGACCAGTCTGGCGTTTTCGCTGCGGCGCTGAGAAAGCGCATCGATTCCGGTTTTCAGCTTCTGGAACGCGAGCTTGTTGCAACAGGAGGCCCGTTCCTTCTTGGTCCGGATCCGGGTTGCCTTGATTTCTATGCCGCCGCCTGTGCACGCTGGGCCCAGATTTATGGTAATTGTGGGCGATGGGAGCTGGACAGTTCACCCGGGCTGCGGCGCATTTTCGAGCGCCTGGAGTGTCGGCCTGCGGTCAAAAGGGCGTGCGAGATGGAATTGATTGCAGGTGCCCCTTTTACCAAGCCGGTTCCGGTTACGCTCGCACGGGAACAAAAGCATTATGTTGATCGATGCAATCAACCATGACGACAACGATCAACCATAGTAGGTCATGACGACAATCCCGGATCAACCCAGACGGATTTCATGAATTCTGCGTTCTTCAACTCAACCCTGACCCGATTGCCCGTGACGATTCTGCTTGCGGCATTGGGGGGAGGGACGTTCTATCTGATGGGATTGCCGGCAGCGTGGTTGTCAGGCGCAATGGTTTTTGTCGCCGCCGCCACACTGGCAGGCGTTCCGACGATCATGCCGGACCCGCTTCGGGACGCTCTGTTTGTCGGCATCGGCGTCTCCATGGGAGCAGGTGTTCGCCCGGATGTGGTCGAACGCATCGGCGACTGGCCGATATCCATGGCCCTGTTGCTCGTTGTCGTTGTCTGCGTCACGCTTGCCGGATATGCCGTGCTGCATTTTGGTGCCAAATGGTCAAAGGAAACAGCCTTTTTCGGAGCCATTCCGGGAACGCTCTCCTACGTGATCGCCCTGGCTACCGATCG